TGGCGATGTGAATTGCTGCAGTAGAGTCACAAAAAAGAGGAACATGTTTGTTTTGAGGTACCTGAAACTCATTGAGTAACTTCACAAGCCAAGCTATCTCCTTGCTTCCCATGGCCATCGCTCTATACTCAGATTCAGCAGAAGAAGCAGAGCATACATCTTGTTTCCGAGATTTCCAAGAAATCAAAGAACTTCCAAGGAACATACAATAACCTGATGTAGATCTTCTGGAGTCTTGACATGAATTCCAATCAGCATCAGTATATGCCTTGAGACACAAGTCTGAAGTAGCAGAGTAAAATAAACCCAGTCCAATGGTTCCTTTTAGATAATGAATCACTTTGTAGGCTGCCTTTAAATGTGAGGCTTTAGGAGCTGATGAGAATTGACACAATCTATTGACCGCATATGTAATGTCAGGTCTTGTAATCGTCAAATACATGAGCTTCCCAATCAATCGTCTATAAACTTCAGGATTCTGTAACTCTGGTTAATCGCTGTGAAGAGCTAGTTTCACACTCGGTTCCATAGGAATAGTGGAAGGTCTGCAACCCAATAAACCAGTCTCTTCTAATAATTCCAGTGTGTACTTTCTCTGACAAACTGAAATTCCTTTCTTCGATCTAGCAATTTCCAGGCCTAAGAAATACTTAAGAGGACCTAAGTCTCTAAGCTTAAATGCCTTTGCTAAATCAGTCTTTAATTCCTCTATAGCAACATCATTATTCCCAGCAATAACAATGTCGTCAACGTATACTAGTAAAGCAGTGTAGATATTACCAGATATACGAGTGAATAGAGTATGATCCGCATGTGATTTCTTGAAGCCAAGATTCATCAATGTTGAGCTGAACTTCAAGTACCATTGCCGTGATGCTTGCTTTAATCCATACAAGGACTTTTGTAATTTCAATACTGCATTCTGAGGTAAGATTCCTCCCTGCTTCATAGAATATCCTGGAGGCAAACTCATATAAATCTCCTCATTTAAATCACCATTGAGAAAGGCATTTGATATATCCAACTGATGGAGACTCCATTCCTTAGCAGCTGCAACAGAAAGTAATGTTTTCACTGTTGTCATTTTGGCCACTGGTGAGAAAGTATCACCATAGTCTTCACCTTCCTTTTGTGTATACCCTTTAGCCACTAGGCGTGCTTTGAACCTCTCTAGACTTCCATCAGCATTAAGTTTTACTTTGAAAACCCATTTACAGCCAATAGGTTTCTTACCATCAGGGAGAGTGCAAACTGACCAGGTATCAGTTGATTCCAACGCTTCTATCTCTATTTCCATAGCATCAAGCCACTCTTTGATTTTCTTAGCTTGTGCATAAGTACAGGGTTCTGGATACTTATTTACTGCACAAATATAAGCAGTGAATTCTTCAGAGAGCTGAGCATAGTTAATGTAGGCTGAGATAGGATACCTGACATCTTTCTGTACATCCGGAACTGCATTACAATAATATTCCTGTAAGTAACCAGGTGGTTTTGACTTCCTTTTAGACCATATGTCCACAGTTTCATTAGAGGAAGGTACAGAGTCCACTGTCTTACTATCAACAGACAAGGATTCTTCTGAAATGACATGAGGGACTGTAGTAGACACTGATTCATCAAAAATATCTTGGGGAATGTGTTTCTTATCAGCAAAAGGGTATATAGCTTCAAAGAAAACAACATGCCTTGAAACGTGAATACTATTAGTTTCCAAATCAAGTAACTTATAGCCTTTATACCCTGCAGGGTAACCAAGAAATACACAAGCCCTGGCTCTAGACTCAAATTTGTGTCGCTGATGAGTACTTGTTGATTGATAGCACAAGCATCCAAAGACTTTAAGTAGAGAGTAGTCAGGTACCTTGTTGTGGAGAAGTTCAAAAGGAGATTTGTTTGAGAGGAGAACACTTGGCAAACGATTGATCAGAAACACGGCAGACAATATGCAATCTCCCCAAAACTCCAATGGTATACAAGACTGAAACATCAAAGCTCTTGCAACATTCAGTATGTGTTGGTGTTTTCTCTCCACAACTGAATTCTGTTGAGGTGTCTCAGGACATGAGTGATATGAAATAATCCCTTTATCTCTGTACAATGAGTCAAATTTCAACTCAGGGGCATTGTCTGACCTTACTGCTTTCACATTAATCTGATACTGAGTTTCTACCATTGTAAGAAATCCAGGGAACAGAGTTAAAACTTCATTCTTAGCCTTCATCAAGTATACCCATGTTGCCCGACTATAATCGTCTACAATAGTCAAGAAGTACCTGAAGCCTTCAACAGTTGGTGTTGCAAACGGTCCCCAAGTGTCTATATGAACCAAATCAAAAGCATGCTCAGACATGTTATTCTTAGAAGGAAAAGTAAGACGCTTTTGCTTCGCTTGTTGACAAACTGCACAATGAACAATCTCATTTTTATTTCCTTTTCTCAAACCAAGTACATTGTGTAGTACATCAATCTTTTCAAATGAGGGATGTCCTAATCGGCTATGCCAAAGAGCATTATCAACAATAGCATTGCAATTCGCATTTACTGAAACAGAGGAGCTATTATCTAAACTAGAACATTCAGCAGGACTAGTACTCAAGACATATAAGCCTCCAATTTGTTTCCCTTCACCAATCTTCTGCTCCTTGATAGGATCCTGAATTACACAGCAACCCTCATCAAAATATACTTTTGATTTCAAATCTTTAGTCAATTGACTTACACTGAGGAGATTAAGTCGAAATTGAGGAATATATAACACATTGTATAGTGTGATATACTCATTCAACTTAATAATCCCTACTCCTGCTATCTTGACATTATAACCAGTAGGCAATGTGACTTCACTACGCAAATCATCAGATAGGCTTTCAAACAAATTTCTATCAAAAGAAACATGATGAGTTGCACCACTATCTATGATCCAAGTGTTAACAGTCAACATTTTTCTAGAGGTTGTCAAAACACATAGCAACCACAGAATAGAGGGAGAGAAAGAAATACCATTAAAAGCAGAACCATCATTATTACTAGTGCTTGCAACAGAGGCAATAGTAATTGGTTGTGCAGGGTTATGGAGTTGTTTACTGAAATAGGCAATCACATCTTGTATTTGAGTCTTTGACATGTTTTCTACCAATTCAGCAATACCATCTGGTCCAATCCCTTTAGTATTCATTGTTTTTCCATCAGTCAAAGCGAGATTAGCAACAACGGGCTTTGATTTCTCTGGTGGTGTAACATTCTTCTGCTTGTGTTTAAAATCCAATGGATAACCGTGAATCTTGTAACAAGTGTCTTTCGTATGTCCAGTGTAACCACAATGAGTACACTGTACTTTAGGTGCTTTAGGAGGATAAGAACGAGTAGCATTCACAGCAAATTGCGCACTAGTAGAAGCTGCAACTTGAAATGCAGATGCATTAGTAACAGTAACCATACTCCTTTGACTATGATCTTGGTCCAAGAGGTTGTAAATTTCTGCTAAATCAGGAATTGTTTTCTTCATGATAATCTGACTGCGTATAGTTGCATAAGATTCATTCAATCCTGCAAGAAACTTCACAATCTTGGCATGATCAGCCTTAGAAGCAGTAGCTACACAACATTTGCAATTCTGGCAAGTATCCGCACAACTAGCACCATCCAAATCATCCCATAATGTTTTCAATGATGTATAGTACTCAGAGAGACTCATAGATCCTTGTTGTAATCCCCATATCTGCTGAGTCAAATGATAAGATCTAGGAAGATTCGTAATATGAAATCTTGTAATCAAATCTTTCCAAATTTCTGCAGCATCATTGAATCGCAATATACTTTTGTAAATTTGTTTGGTGACAGAGTTCAATATCCACGATTTAACCATACTGTTACATCGAGACCAGACGCGAAAGCTAGGATCGAATTCAGGAGGTCGTGGTAAAGTACCGTCAACAAACGCAATCTTGTTTTTAGCATCCAAAGCAACAAACATCGTAATCTTCCAAGACGAGAAATTAGATCCATCAAGTACCTCAGAGACTAGAGTATTACCAGGACTATCGCTGTTTGACAGAGCAAATGGCGAATAATGAGCATCCGTAAAGTCAAACTGTGGTAAAGGATGAATCGGAGGTCTTGATACGAAATTTGGTTGAATCGGAGGTGAAATCGGTGGAATCGGTGAAGAAGAAACACGATCTGGAGTCTTCTCAGCTGAATTTTTAGTAGATCTTCTAGTACGACGCCGCAATTTCTCAACGGAAACCATCGCAAGATCTTTCAGCTGAATTTATAAAGAATTGATCGGAGAAGAGAGTGAAAACGAGAGAATCGATGAGATTTGCGAAGGAAAAACTCGAAGATCCATAGAATTTTGATCGAAATTGTTGAGTTTTCTGACTCAATGCTCTGATACCATGATAGTTGTAGAAAGATTCGAGAGAGAAACGAAGAAGATGATGAAATTCTGTTATACTCTCTTAAAGAAGTTTGTTACAATGGAACCCTCTATTTATAAGGGAGAGTTCCGGTTAACTGAAATAACCACACTCGGTTATCAGTTGATATTAAACCAATCTTATACACTAATAAGGGTGATGTTGTGAAAGCAGTATTACGTGCGAAGGAGAACAATAAAATTGAAGGAATATATGGAAGGATGGGGGACTTAGGTGCCATTGATGGTGAGTATATTGGTGGTCTATCATTTCTCTAGATACTATTTGGATATAAGTCATAGAGCAGTCCTTTCTTTTTGTTGTTTAGTTGATTGATGAGCATAAAGACAGCATTGACTGAAGCAAAGTCCAATTATGAAAACCTGAAAATGTCGGTAGATGAGTTGAAGGCATTTAAATCGTTGGACATTTCGTGAAAGACCGAACTAAAGATGCTCAGTTCATTATCATCAGGTCAGTTCAATCTTCTAGTTCAATCAGTTCTTGACTTATTCAACTAGGTCAGTTTTTGATGTCTATAATGGTGAAATGTGTTGCAGTCTGAGGACCAACATGTTTGAGTTAGCAGATAGATTGGTGGGAATCTACAAATTAAACAGATAACTGTACAAAGAGCATTACTATATATCAATCCAGAAAACAAAGCCTACGATTTTTGAAAGAACAAAGCCTGATTTATAGAGGGTAACAAACAACCATAAAACTCCACCAAAATCCATGAATTATGTCAAACCTCTAAAAAGAAAAACAAAACTAAGTGGTTACCATATTCTTCATGCCCTTCTTGGTAATCAGCGGGAGCGCCATGACGAGACGTAGAGTAATATATACGTGATATGTGTCAATTTGTTCATAGCCAATTATTTTTGAGTTAGAAACTCATGATACTTAATGAGGGTACCTTGCATTAGACGTTTCCACCTAGACCCTAACAGAATCTTCAGTTGTGGTCCCTTCACATTGTCTTAAACAATCCATTTACTTACTTGCAGCAGCTGTATATCCAACAACTTTATAAGAACGAAGAGAATCAAAATATAAACTGAAGAGCAATTGAAACTATATTCTTACCTATGCTTCTGTTTGCTTTACATCACTGTCTTCACACTACGAACTGTGATCAGTCTCATAGCCAAGATCACTAACCTCGCAGTCTTTCCACTGTTCAATTTCACTGCTAAGATCACTATCATCGCAGTCTTCCCACTTTTCACTGCCAAAATACTTATCATCGCTATATGGACACTCTTCATTGTATTCAGTCTCATTACCGTCACTGCTTTCATCGTCCTCAAAGAATCGTATACCACATCCTTTTAGTTTGAGCTGACAGTTTTTATGAGTAAGATGGAATTGTATATCCACGTGATCATAGTTAAGTTCAGCTAGAGGAGCATTGTCATCGTTTAGAGGGAAACAACACTCAAATATAACCATATGACTAGCTTTCTTATATGCTGAGAAGACATGGTGTTGATTAGGGGGATCAAAGTGGTTTCCGAGGCTGTCTATGAACCGACAACATACCTGGAATTTGGATGGACTATCTATGAAAATAGATTCGGAATCAACCAAGGCGCAAGCCCTAAATATGAAGAATGGTTGACAAGGAGAGATGTGAAGAAGAGGTACATTGATCAGAGAGGCTCCAATAGTTTGGTGAGTGAAATATGAAGGCACTTCATCACACGAAAACTCGAAGAAACCCGATTGTTCCATAAGGAGAGCTTCTTGATCCACTTTGAAGCAGTTGATGAATTTGATACAGACTGGTAAGTGAGTATTGTTGGTCACTGAAGTTGGACTATTATTCAAGATGACTTCACTCAACTCCCCACAGTCTGAAAAGTCAACCATCTCAAGATGTTTGAGTTTAGAAATGTTTAGGGAAACATACTTCAAATTTTTTGCATTCTGACATACTTATGAAGCTTAGATTTATGAAGTTCTCTATCCACCAAGGAACCTCTTCAATCGCTGTTTCGTTGAGAAAGAGCTCAGAGATATTGGTTGAAATATCAGGAAAACACCTCAGCTGTGAGCATCCACTAAGATCAAGGCTATACAGAGATTTGAGGTTGATTCCAGTTGGAAGAGTCTCAAGATTTTTGCAGTTCCAAATACTCAATTCCTCTAGTTTATGGAGATTATGAATTGAAGAAGGAAGCTCCACCAAAGTAGGGATATTCGAGAGATAAATTCTTGTCAAAGAAGGAGACACCATCTTCAGGAGGGGTGTAAGCGGCTGAACCAAAGACAAAACAACTTTTAACGATTTTTATGAGCAACAGTTGTCAGTTCGCAAATTACTGTAACTAGTGTGTAGCCACGCTCCGCATGACTTGTTGCAGAACTTTGTTTGTATAAACAAACTAAAATGTTAAGAGAAAAAGCTAAAGAATAAGTAAGTTTACTTTCTAAAGTTCTTTTTGAGTTTTTATATATTAATTTATTTTATCAGAAACATCTCAAAATATATCCTTACTAAAAAAATAGAAAATCATTGGATCTAAATATTTTCATAATTTTATAACTGGTTATAAAATATGAAATTTTTAAAACCTTACCTATTCAAATTTATGATATATATTCACATCTAATTTATATGAAAACTAAAATAAATTAATCTCAGTAATTAAAAAAGTGAAAAATTTAATTCATAATTTACAGGTTTAGTATTCAAGTAATTTTTTTTTTTTGCTTAATTTTTTTTACTTATTCAAAACGATATCATATTGAAAAAAAAAATCATGAACTAAACGGCCGATTTGACCGATGAATACCGATTTTGAACATCTAAACCGGTAAACCGATTTGATTCACCGATTTTACTAAAAACTAAAGTCTGGAGGTTCATGAGCGCCTAGGCCAAATTTTTTAACATTGGTATCACCTATCTATATGGGCTATATTTAAACAGAGGCCATAAACATACTATCAAAAGCCTGTGAAAACAGTCCTACCAGTCTACCACATTAACTTCTTTAAAAAGAAAAGAGTCCCTATAAAAGTGAATTTAAAAATGGCTTACATACCTGTTCTCTTTCCCACAATTTCCCACTCCTCATTTCACACATCCTAAGATTCACGAGATTCTCCAAATGCAAGTTAGAAGGTAATTCTTCTATGGTTGTTCCATATAGATCGAGCGTTGAGATGTTGCTTGAGATATCAGGAAAACTCTTTAACCGTGAACATCCCATGAGATTGAGGTCGTAGAGAGATTGGAGATTAATTCCAGTAGGAAGAATCTCAAGATTTTCGCAACGTTCCATATGAAAATCGTATAATTCATTGAGATACTGAATTGAGGAAGGAATCTCCATCAAACTCGAGCAATCGTTGAGAACAAGTTTCTCAAGATTTGTGGCCATAGAAAGATCTGGGATTTCTATCAGGTTTTTGGATCCCCACAAATTTATTTCCTTGAGCCCTGTAAGTGGCTGAAGTTTATTTAAGTTAGACATCAGTTGAAACGACAAAACATTATAAGCTCGATGTTATTTAAAATCTACTAAAATCTTACATGAACTCCATCCCACAACTTCTCGAGTTTGCTCCACCGCATTACGAGTTTAACGAGGTTTTCAGGATGAAAGTTTGAAGGCATACATCTCAACGGGTATTTTTCCCAACTTAGTAATCTTAGCTTAGGAGGGAAATGATCAAAACCTTTTGATAAGTGCCATCTTATTTCTTTCTTCTGCCGCTTTGTGAAAAACTTTAGAAAAAAGAGATTACGCATCCCTTTGAAAGCATTCTCATGTATATGTACTTCATCAATTTCATCTATATCCAATGATATACCTAAAACATTTTTAGTACCCTGAAATTATAATAAAAATAAAAGAGGGGAAAAAAATCATTAATTAGCTTAATTAACAAATGCCTTAATATTATGGTTGATTAAATGACATGCTTTAAGTCTTATAGCGTGAGATACGTATATGACAAGAATACTAAACACTTACTTTGTTATCTTCAAGTACATCGCAAGTATCCTTCCAATCCACAAGAAACTCATGTTCTCCGGGCTCATTGGATTGCATACGAACAATCTCTTTTCCCATTTCTTGTAGCAAAGAGTGCATCTCCACTATATCGTAACTTTCATGGATAAGAGATTTATCAACGAGGTTTTTGAGCCCGATAGTAACATCCAAGTCACTATTTGCCAATAACAGCTTGATGTCATTGATTTTCTCACGATTAAAAAGACATGCAATGTGACGAAATATCGCTTTATCTTTTTTGTTATTTAATCCATCGTAGCTAACTCTTAGTGTTTTCTCAATTTTTCCATCCAAACCATTTCGAAGCCTTGGCAGCATATCCATCCACTCCTTTTTATCCCTACCTCGCAAATAGGAACTCAATATGTTAAGACCCAAAGGAAGATTACCGGCACGCAATGCAACTTCAGAAGCAAGTTCCAAAAACCCATCAGGCGGATACTTTTGCTTGAAAGTAGATCGACATAACATTTCAAGAGCAGCCTCTTCAGATGGGAGACGGACCTCGTAAATATGATCAATTTTATGCGCTCTTAAAAAGTGCTTATCTTTTGTAATGACAATGATTCTGCTCCCACATCCAAACCAATGAGTTTGACCCACCAAGGCATCTAACACCAGTTGATCATCCAAATCATCAATACAGATTAGAACTTTCCGGTTCTTTAGCCTCTCTCTCATTGCACCTAAATGATATACTTTTATGTCCTTTTTGTCTAAAATTTGAGACAGGAATTTTCCTTGCATATGTAACTTCAAGTTGTAGTCATCAGAATTGGCTTGAGAATAAATATTCATGCTCTTAGATATGAAAGCTCTATCGATGAAAATACTACCATGGAAGTGTCGAGAAAGTCGGTTAAATAGAGCTCTTGCAATGATAGTCTTACCAATCCCTGAGGAACCCCATATACCAACCATTCTCACTTCTTTAGATGCCAATTGCAACAATATACTCATTTCAGAAATATGATCTTCAATGCCAACAAAGTCCTCAAAATCCCTCGATGTAGTTAAAAGCAGCTTATCTAAAACATCATTGGCGATTTCTTCAATCATTTTTGCTTCATTAAACCTTACAAGAATATACAATTTCACAAACATGAAAAAATAAAATTTCAAGATAATATATAAGTTCAAATAAGTATTTATAAAACCATACCAAGTCGTAGAATGATATCCAAGAATATTAGCTACACTGGTCAAGGCTTCCTTCCATTGAATTTTCACCTCCTCTGTTTTGTTGTGACATGTTTTTTCAAAGATCTTCCCAAAGTCACCGGTCTGCTTCCTCACATGTGAAGGATCCAAACGGTAGAAAACCGGTATCACCATTTGACTAAACTCTTCCTTGCATTTCACTATCTCCACCAATTCGTTAAGACACCATGTTGAAGAGGCATAATTTATGGAGAACACGACCACCGCAATCCTCGAATCCTTAATCGCTTGTTTAAGAACGGGGTCGAGCGATTCGCTCTTCTTAATCTCGTTGTCTTTGAAAGCAATGATTAATTTCCGATCAAGCTCTTTGAGAAAGTGGCTAAGGAAAGTTACGCGGACGTCTTCCCCACTGAAGCTCGGGAAGACATCATAAACCCAAGTGCAAGAAGAAGACGAGTGAGCCATAGGAGGAAACTAGTTTTAGACGAACATAAACTTTTAAGATTGAGATTGCAATAAGAAAGTCGGAGGGCAATTATTAATGAAATTATGGTAGATTGGTGACAAGAGCAGATTGTTTCTCATATTTTTCTAATGCAATTTGACGGAAGTTTCATATTTTTTTACTTAATCACGACCACACATGTTTCCCAAAGGCCAAGTCTATAATCGTCAATCCTTAAGACTTTTGAGTTTCTCTTTGTTTTATCCACCAAGCTCTAAGCTCGTCAAGCTTAGTAATGATTTAATTCTTGTTAAGATGCATGGAATAAGCACATCATGCTCAAAATCATGTAATTGATGTGTTTTTCCTTGCTAAGCTTAAGAGAGGATTTATGGAGAAGTAATCTCAAACTAGCAAGTAGCAACATGAGTATACTGTAATAGTAATTAGCCATGTTAAAAGTTATTAACCTACATATATATAAGTACTAGAGAGTGTCCCACGCGATGCGTGGGTTACGCATTCAATTATTCTTTATATAGAATAAAGTTTACATTAAATTATATATGAAGTGCACATGTAGTTGTTAACATATGTTATGAGAAAATTTTAAAAGATATTCATTTATATGTTTTTAAATTATGGAGAATTAAAAAAACACATTACTTTAATACATTTTTTAAAAAAATATTTCATTGCAGTTTAAAAATTTAGAAGTACTTTTGTGAATTATAAAGATAAACTTCATAATCTTTTCTTAAAAATAGTATATATATAGACACTATATAGTCTGTCTTTCTAAGGTTTTTAGTAATAAAACTTCTCAACTAAAGATAGATCGTAAAAAAAACCCTTTCAACTATATATTTAATGAGAAAACCCCTCAACTTAAAATCTATTATTACAAATCCTTCTCCGTCTACTTTTTCATGAAAAGTGCATGGACTACAACTAAATTGAAATTGAAAAACGACATATATACACTTACACAACATGAATTATAACAAAAACAACAAAACGTCCTTCAATCCGATTATAAATCCTCAAACCTTAGCTCTAAATTTCTCAAAGTGAAAAATCTAAATGGAGGAACCCTAATTTATCATAATGAGATTCTCTGAAGTTTACGTGGTGTCGAAATCGATTAGGAGAGATACTAAAAAAAGTTACGTTTTAAATTGAATTATAGTCCGTCCAATTTCACGATACTGTAGACGGAGGAGAATTTGCATGAAAAATTTGAAGTTGAGGGTTTTTTTCTCTAAATATATAATTGAGGGTTTTTTTTACGATTTATCTTTAGTCGAGGGGTTTGATTACTAAATTATATATATATCACCGCTTTTTCGTAATTTGCACACAATATTTTCAGGTGCAAATGCATCTATATAGATGCTAAATGTGTAATATATTAACAATTGTCTAGAAACAATAGATTAACCTCTACAATAGATTAATACATGCATAAGTTTATATTAAAGTCTTGGAAACTATTATTAAAAACTAAAGATGTAGTAAATATGTTTTTTTAAGATTTAGAAGACATGATTTTATTAAAAAAAAATTACAATAATGCTAATCATTGAAAAATAAGCAATATTTTAATCGCCTTATTTTAGAAGACGTGCATAAGTGATTTACCAGACTCGATATGTCGATTTTCCACTTATATCTAGGCCCAATGTATAGATTTTAAATTTTATTTTTTAGTAATTTAAGCATTGTCACATTTTATTGTTAAGAGTCTCAAACCTTGTATATGTCTTTCAAGGCTTTTAAGTTGTAGCAAAAAATTTGTAACGTCCCGACCGTCATCTCTCTTAATAGGTTCGACATCTTCTCTCGGCCTGTGGACTCAACATTTTTTGACGGTCGGTCCGTTACATCTGGAAGGCTTTAAAGACTTGTTTACCGATTCTACAAATCATCACATGATCCTTCCCTGTGTTTTGTCCTCACTCACACACACAGTTCCGACAATCATTTCTCGGAAGGTCACCCATCCTGAAAATTTCCTAGCTTAAACACGCTTAACTGTGGAGTTCTCTTAGGACAGTTGACCGAAAAGATAAGTGCACTTTGATGACATAGATGGCCAAATCAATTCTTTTAAACCTCTCCGCAGGCACCACCATGTCCCTTAAACCAGGATGTTACAATTCACCCCCACTAACAGATCGCAACGTCCTTGTTGCGCACGAAGACCGTCACCCCCGGCGGTGTGAGCTTTCTTTACTCCACACTCGTCTGGATTCAGCTCTGAAATCACTTGTGACACCCCGACTGCCATCTTTCTTAATGGGTTCCACGTCCACCATCTTCTGACGGTTGGTCTGCTACGTCCGGGAGGCTTTAAAGGCTTGTTTACCGACCCTAAAAATTACCATATGATATTTTCCTGGATTTTGTCCTCACTCACACAGTTCCAACAAGCACTTCCCGGAAGGTCACCCATCCTGAAACTTTTTCAGCTTAAGCACGCTTAATTGTGGAGTTTTCTCAGGACAGTTGACTGAAAAGATAAGTGCATTTTGGTGGCTAAATCAATTCTTTTAAACCTCTTCGTATGCAACACCATATTCCTGAAACTGGGATGTTACAAAATTTCTCGTAATTTAGATGACCACGATTCTATGTAGTGCTCTTTTTCATTTTAATGGCTTTTAATGATTCTTTTTTTTTATGTCTTACTTTTGTTATGTCAAATATTCGTGTAGATTTTGGATTTGTTCTAACATTTTTTGAAAGGATGGAATGTTTCATATTTGTAATTATTTGAAGTATAAAAACATATAAATATCAAATTTATATTTTTTGGTAATTTATAAATTATTTTTTTGATAATTTTATTGTCTTCGTTGAAGAAACATAAAATTAGTGATTTGTTAGTTGTGTTCTTAGAGTAAACGAATAAATAGATGTCAATGCTCTTGACTTATATCAATCTAGAAATTAACTATTCCTTTTGTTCCATTTTAAAGTGATTTTAAAGTTTTTTTCCATACAAATTATGCATTTTTTCTTGGAATTATAATATCAAAATATCAATTATTATCGGGATAAAAATTACTCACCCAATGACAAAAAATATTAAAAAATAAATGATTTCTGGTACTTTTCAGTGAGGACAAAACACATGAAAAAATATATGCAAGTCTCTTTTTTATGCGGCTAACATACTCTTGAGAAAAGGAGATGTGAAAAAGAATTAATTATACTCTTGAACCATTGTACTTTTATATTTTCTCATTTTAAATGGCTTATTATATTATTTTAGGACACACCATTCATGTCCTTAATTTTTAAATGAATGCATACAAGTGAGTTTTAATGATTCCAACCGTTACAATATTAATTGCTATCCCATTAAACACCAGTTAACCATATATTTTTTTTTATTCATGTAAAATTATATGTTAGTTATTTTACAATCAAAACCTAAATAATTTTTGAAATGAAACTAAATGTATTTTCTATAAACCATTTAAATTACACTCCCATAACCATAATTTTAACAATAATCCAAAAGACAACATATTTTTTTTCTTATAATCCACAGAATTTAAGTTCTAATGTTAAGTTTCATTCTAATAACATCACTTTAATTAAATTCAAATTGGGAAAAAAAGAACAATAATCTTAAAACAAAAAATTTGAATAGAATAAACATTACAATTATATTTATATGATTACATGTTTGTTCACATAGCAGAAAATGTAATTATGTGTATAGTACAAAATATACTGAGAAAAAATAAAAAAATGAAATATTTCTTAAAATTTTATTAATTTTTTTTTTTTATCTCTATCACATTTTACATAATTTAAATAGAATACAAAATACTTAAATATGTAAGAAAACAATCCTTGGTCTATAAATAAAGAATTTTATGGCCATGTAATCCTCATTGAGTGATAATACATATATATATAAAATTTTTTTTTTATAATAAAAATAAAGATAGAAGACGTACGTTTTTGTATCGTTTTAGAAACAAATAAAAACTAAAAAAATATGGTCAATATATACCATACAATCTCTATAAATAAATTAAAAATACTTACTATCATTGTGTCTTAATTTATTTTTCAACCCATTGAAGAAAATAAAAAACAAAGTAAAGTTAAAGATTTGAAGTATCATAAAGGAGAATGAGAGAATGATTATTTTAAAAATAAATAAATTAAAATAGTTGCAATTTTGGTAAAAGAGAATTCATCTCAAAACCTTTTTTTATTCTTATGCATTAAGTATATATTTCTATTTAGATTTATCTGCTGTGTTTGAATATATTAGATTAAAGGTTAAATTGAGTGAAGGAAATAAAAAATGTTTATACAGAAGTGTGAAAATTAGAATAAAAAATTGTTTCAAAATATAAAAGATAAGAGGTCATTGGTTAAAAATATTAAACCACACAAACTATACCAGATCTAATAAGTACTATTTCTTATAATAAACTATACCTCTTGAAAGCAAACTTTTAGTGATCATAAACAAACAAAATACTATTCTTCAACTTCATCATGATCATCATCAGTCATCACCTTCTCCTTCTTCCTCTATTCTTCAACTTCACCATTACCTTCTCTTTTTTCTTTTACTTAACATAATAATAACCAAAAGCATGACTTGTGTTTTATTTGTTGAAGTTTAAACTAATTTTGTTATAATTTATACGTTGCTTCAAGCTTCTCAAACACAAGCTTCTCAAACACAATTTAATTTATGTGAATTTGCAAAGTGGATCAAGAGCTTAAGAGGGACATAAATTTATGTGTTAATGTGTGATTGAAAATATATATTTGCTATTTATATCGAAAGAGTTGACTAATATTATTAGGATATATATGAAAAAACGTTACATGAGTAATTGAGTATACCATAAAATTTCCGTTTTGAAAATGACCCAATTATTATTGAGATCATAATGAGATTTAATTACATAATGTTTAGTCCTATTTTTTTTTTCTCATGACTATCATACGTTTACAATATTCTTGTCTTTGGGCTCTTTTTTTCATTCAATTTTATATCTACTACCCTGACATTTTTTTGTTTTTGGTGATGGATTAAAAAAAAATTAGAATAAAAAAAATGATGTCAATTAAGTGGCCTAATAAATTGCGAGTGAAACTATTTTTATATATATAAGATTCTTTACAGAATCATATTTTAAAATCATATGAATTATTTAAATATTTATAAATGATACATCATTAGGATAAAAATATTCAACTATTAAGAAGACATTATAAAATAGTTTAACAATAACATTACATGATTTGAAAACCTAATAATTTTAAAAATATATGTCGAATGTACCAATAGGATAAGAGAAATATCTTTTTTTAGAACTAAATTAAAGGAGACAAAGTTAAAATGAAAGAGGACTTGTGTCAACAAAAGAGAGTGCCAAATGTCGCAATGTTAGGAAAAATTAGAAAAGACCTTCTCATATTATATAAGATAAAAAATGA